TATCTAAATTCTTCTTTAAGTAGTATATATTTTTTTTATTTTAACTCCTTTCATAAATTCTGTCTCATACCTTTTGATCTTCCTTTAATTTCCTGTCTTGTTCCTCTAGTTTTTGGACTATTTCTTCTTGGCCCTCTTTTAAATGTTTCACTATCTTTAGCAAAGCTTTTCGATCTGGTTGCCACGTTGAAATTGATCCAGGTTTTGCATATATATTGTTGCGTCAGCGAGGTCACGTGACTAGTATCACGCCACCTGTTTCTAGAAATATCCTGTTCCTTCAAGAATGTCCTAGCAGTTACTAGATATGTGTTAGTCTTGTATATATAAGACGTTCACAACGTGACGGGACAACAAGGTAATGAGTAATTGAATGTATGCGGACAAAATATTGTTGGCCTCGTGAGACGTGAATTATAGTGTTTGTTATAGAGCGACTGTTGAAATTAAGTATATCGTAAAGTTGTATTCGGAAAGAATAAACCAGTTTTATTTAAGAAAGGACTTGTGTCGCTAAAGTTTCTTCGGAACGAATTTACGGAAAATCAACTAGCGAACGGAGACGTAACAAATTGGTGTCAGAGAGTGGGACAAAAAAAGAAAGAAAAAAAGAAATGGAAACGAGAAGCGGCAAATCAAACTACAGCTTAGCAGACTTGATGGCAGCAATACAAGAGCAGCAAAAGAAACAAGAAGAAAGAGAAAATAAACAAGAAGAGAGATTACAACAGTTGTTAGAGGAAAAAGAAAAGAAACAAGAAGAGAGATTACAACAGCTGTTGGAGGAAAAAGAAAAGAAACAAGAAGAGAGATTACAACAGCTGTTGGAGGAAAAAGAAAAGAAACAAGAAGAGAGACAACAGCAGTTGCAAGAAAACATGCAACAGTGGCAGCTTGAACAACAAAATAAACAAGAAGAGAAATTACAGCAGTTGTTGGAAGAAAAAGAAAAGAAACAAGAAGAACGAGAACAGCAGTTGCAAGAAAACATGCAACAGTGGCAGCTTGAACAACAAAATAAACAAGAAGAGAAATTACAGCAGTT